ACCAGCTGGAAAGCAGGTTTGCAGAGAGGGACCTGGGAGTCCTAGTGTATAACAAGTTGACCATGAGGCAGCAATGTGCCCTTGTGGCCAAGAAGGCAAATGGTCTCCTGGGGTGCATTAAAAAGACTACTGGAGAGAGTCCAGCAGAGGGCTACAAAGATGATCAAGGGAATGGAGCACCTCTCTTATGAGGAACGGCTGAGAGACCTGGGTCTGTTTAGCCTGGAGAAGAGAAGACTGAGAGGGGACCTTATGGATGGTTATAAACATCTAAAGGCTGGGTGGTATGAGGATGGTGCCAGACTCTTTTCAGTGTTGCCTGGCAACAGAACAAGGGGCAGCGGGCACAAACTGGAACACAGGAAATTCCATCTCAACATGAGGAGAAACTTCTTTACTTTGAGGGTAACAGAGCACTGGAACAGGCTGCCCAGAGACGTTGTGGAGTCTCCTCTGGAGATACTCAAAACCCACCTGGATGCACTCCTGTCCAACCTGCTCTAGGTGAACCTGTGTTGGCAGGGGTTTGGATTAGATGATCTCCAAAGATCCCTTCCAACCCCTACTGTTCTATGGTTCTGTGATTCTGTGATCAGTTTATTGCACTTGGTGTCCAGATTCTGATAGTGACCATTACTAGGTGCTGAGGAAGATGCTCCAAAGTGTCTTAAAATGGCAGTTGTGGAACTCATCTACTTGACAAGTTTCCTTCTGCCCTAGACCAGGCATATGGGGGCTCTCTGTTTTCTGAAAGGTCCAGAAAGTTACATGTTGTCTGTAAGCTATATTAAAAACAATCTTGAAGCCTAAACACCCTACAGTAATTTTAAAATACTTTTGAAATGGTGGACAGTGTTACCTCCTCTAATGGAGCACAGTGTTATTTTTATCTTTACTGTACAGTATTTCTGCTTTTGAAGAAAACCCTCTGAAGTTACCAGGAGTACAAAATACACTGTCTGGGTAGTGCTTCTAAGCCTAAGCAGTGGCTGCATTTTGCCTGTTTCAGTGGTGGAACTGAAGCTGAATAAATGCAGCATAAGTATTTTTTCTGAATACTGAAATGAATGGATTAGGTCACTCTTTTACTTCCTTTGTGTTTCCTCTGTAAACTTTTTAGAGGTCTGAGTTTGCTGTAGTTGTTTGAATTAATTTTCCAAGCAAACATTTGTAGAACAAAATTTATTATAGTGGATGGTGATTGGTTTTTTTTTTTTTTTTTCCCTTCTCATGATGTGGGTTTTGCAAATAACAGTTACTGTGGGGTTTATCTAACCACGTACTGCTAAGGAACAGTGTTACAATGTCTGATGGAGCATTTTCGGCATACAGAGAATTGTTTACAATCAATCCAGAAGGGAACATGGCTGGAATAAATTTAAATAGTGAGCACCATTCTGGAAACCATTATGCAAAAAGGACTTTAGCAAAACTAATTATTGGAAATTGCAGTTTCATAAAACCTGAAAATGTATTTAAGAAAGAGTAACTTAGTGATAAATCTGTTTAATCAATTTATAGTCTGGAAGCATTTTTTACTATAGGCATTTTACATTTTGTGGTAGCTTCTGTGCTTTTTTTCACTGCAGTATAGCTCTCAGATAGCAGCCCCTTTGTACTCATGAGAATGTTCTTTTTCTTCTTTCTGTTATTTCAGAACATGAGATAAAAATGTACATGTTATTTTGGTTTAATCAGGCAGATTTAGTGATTCCTTTTTGCTTGTTTTGTCTGAGGTTTAATTTACTGTAACTGGTAACGCAGAAACCCAAGTTCTAACAACTCAGTTGCGCTTCCCCAGCTTCCCCAGTCCCCCTTCCCCAGTTTGCGGTCCAGGATGCAGCATGGCTGCTTGAGGATGGGACCAAACAGGATGGAATCTGTATACTGCAATGGAGAGTGACTGGTCCACAGAAACCATGTGGAGATAGAGATTTTGGGGTGAAGATTATATTTTCAGAGAATTAGATAATCAGTGATTAGATAATCACTTTCTCATGTGCTACATGGTGGATCTGCAGCAGCTAAGCAGGTGGTGGTGTGCTGATGGAGCTTGAGTTTGGTAGTACCAGACATGTGAATGGACAGCAGAGACCATCCTTTACCACCTCTCTTGCCTTTTGTGCTTACAGCCAGATGGTATGGGAAGCAGGGCAGAAACATCTTAAAAAGGATGAGTACTGCAGGATGCATTAAGAAAGGAAAGAGATGGAGTAGGGGAATAAAACAGAACAGAATAAAATAAAACAGAACAGAATAGACTATTTCAGTTGGAAGGGACCTACAACAAGCATCTAGTCTAACTGCCTGACCACTTCCGAGCTGACCAGAAGTTAAAGCATGTTGTTAAGGGCATTGTCCAAATGCCTCATAAAACCCTGCCAGGTTTGGGGTATTGACCACCTCTCTCGGAAGCCTTTTCCAGTGTTTGACCACCTTCTCGGTAAAGAAATGCTTCCTAACGTCCAGTCTACAGCTCCCCTGGTGCAGCTTTGAACCATTCCCACTTGTGCTATCACTGGATCCCAGGGAGAAGAGCTCAGCACCTCACTCTCCACTTCCCCTCGTCAGGAAGCTGTAGAGAGCCATGAGGTCACCCCTCAGCCTTATTTTCTCCAAACTAGACAAACCCAAAGTTCTCAGCTGCTCCTCATAGGACATTCTTTCCAGGCCTTTAACCAGCTTTGTTCCCCTCCTCTGGACATATTCAAGGACCTTCACATCCTTCTTAAATTATGGGGCCCAGAACTGCACATAGTACTCAAGGCGAGGCTGCACCAATGCTGAACACAGCAAGAAGATCACCTCTTTTGACCATCTGGTTGTACTGTGTTTGATGCCCCCCAGGATGCAGTTTGTCCTCTTGCCTGCCAGGGCACACTGCTGACTCGTATTGAGCCTGCTGTTGACCAGCACCCCCAGATCCCTTTCTGCAGGGCTGTTCTCTAGCCGCTGTTCTCACAGTTTGTACTTGTGCCCAGTATTACTCTGTCATAGGTGCATTTCATCCCATTAATCATAGCCCAACGCTCCAATCTATCTAGATCTGCAAGGCCTCCTGTCTCTCAAGAGAGTCAACAGCACCTCCCAGTATGGTATCATCAGCAAACTTCACTACATCATCAGCATTCACTACAACCCTTTGAGCTCTGCGCTTCAGCCAGTTCTTCACCCAGCGCACCATGAACCCGCTCATCCCACAGTTGGACAACTTGTCCAGAAGGATACTGTGAGGGATAGTATCAAAAGCCTTACTAAAATCCAGAAGAACTACATCCACTGCCTTCCCTTCATCCACTAGGCAGGTGATCTTATCATAGAAGGGTATCAAATTAGTTAAACAGCACTTTCCTTTTGTGAACCCATGTTGACTGTGCCCGATGATTGCATTATTCTTTAAATGCCTTTCAATAGTACCCAGTATAATCTCCATAATTTTTCCAGGAACGGAGGTTAGACTAACAGGTCTGTAGTTCCTGAGGTCTTCCTTCACGCCCTTTTTGTAGTTTGGAATAACATTGTCTAGCTTCCAGTCAGCTGGGGCCTCCCCAGACTCCCAAGACCTTTGGTAGATGATCAAGAGGGGTCCTGCCATAACACCTGCTAGCTCCTGCAGCACTTTGGGATGAATCCCATCAGGCCCCAATGGACGTGTGAACATTCAGCTGATACAGCTAGTCCTTTACAAGAGAACAATCTTTGGAAGATGGCTATGGTGGTGATGTTGTGGTCAAGACCATATGGATCTTGTAAAAGGTGTCTGAATTTAAGGTTGTGATAACTAACCTTGTCTTAGTTCGAAAGGTGATTTGTGATTTGCAAAAGTAGAAAATGAAAGGAGTGGAATTGGCATGACTTAAGGGCAAGGCAAATGACAGCCTGTAAATTATCCACCTTTCAAAACCTGGAAATGAGTGCAAGATTCCTAAATCTCAGCACTCAGTTCTTGTGAGCAAACAGACCAGATGTTTTTGTCTGCTCCTGCTGGTGTCTCACAACCATGCCTCTACTGGGAGATGAGAAAGGTTTCCTGGGTCCCACATCCAGTTGCGTCTTGGCCCCATGATAAGATGTAGTCTTTCCTTGCCTCTGTCTCTCCCTTGCTCCTGACGACACTGGCATGCAAGCCAAAGGGAAGCTGTGGTGTTTTCTCACACATGCCTTGGTGTGGACGGCTGAAGGACCAGGACTGCAGACTGCACTCTGAAGAGTATCTTGTAGAAGACACAGCATATAGGAGCCTTCTATTGGTATCTCTTACTCTGTCATTCCAATTTACAAGGATTTTGCTGTCATTCAATGTTCAGACCATGATGATGTTACTTTCATTTTACTTGCTTTTTAAGTTAGGAAATCTCCTTTAAAATAGCATTATGATTTTAATTTAGAAGATCAAGTGTTCTGAATAAGGCAGGAGTCTTGCAGGAAATATGGTATATATGGTCTGCTGGTACCAGTATGTAAAACAGGGGCAAGTCCACAGCTACACAGATGAAAACATAATTCTCTGAAATAGGAATATTTGATTTCTTAACCTTGATCATTCTTTTAAATCCAGTATTAGTCTGATGGTAACTAAGTTGGAATGTTGTACTTTGTTCTTTGGTGTCTTACACAATTTTTATCCTTTGCTTTTCTGTTTGCTTACCATTAGTTATATTTTCTCTATTTATGTATTAATTTTTGGTTTGATTCAAAGGAAATGTTACCAATATGAAAAATACTGTCAAAGTTAAGTTTGCTTTCCATGCAAAGTACCGAAGTAGTATGTACTTCATCCATATTTTGACTGAAAATGTACAGAAAACAGTAATTTTCTTATCATATGTTACTTACACAGAAGTTGCTGCCTTTAAAGGTTGCAAAAAAGGACTCTGAAGGTTTTTGGGGTGTGAAACTCCCTGCTTTAAGAAGCATCTTTTACTTTTGGATTTTACGCGTAAATAACTAATGAAACATTCAATTTATTGATGTACAACTCTGACCTTTTATTTCCTCAGCCATCATGTACGTAATGGGAGCGCTTGGTCCTGCAGCTGGATACTTGCTAGGAGGACTTCTCATTGGTTTCTATGTTGATCCTCGGACAACTGTTTATATTGACCAGAGTGATCCCCGATTCATTGGAAACTGGTAAGGATCAAGCATTTTTCAAAACTACACTCTAAAATGCCAGCAGGGAATTGAGACACATTGGGAAATCATACCCCTTGAGGGCTTGTTTAAGGTTGTAGAAGGAGGCCAAGGAAGACGAGGTTTCTGTCGATTACTACACACTAGCCTCTGACAGAGAGGGAATGCTTGCCACAGAAGCACGTGGGCACATTACGTGGAAAACCTCCTGCTTTTGCCTGCTCCAGGACTGTCTCTGACCACGGTGGGCGCTGACTGACAGCGCTCAGCACAGGCATGGCAGGACAGAATATCCCTGTTGCAGGAGGCCATCGAGGATCACTGCTGCCCGGGGTCGAGCTCCTCCTGCTGGAAGGTGGATTCATCCTTTCTTTGGTTTTCCAGGGCAGGCAGCAAGAAATGCTGAGCTCTGCTGCCCGGATGAGAAATGGTAGACTGTGTTAACCCTGGTCTAGGAGAAGGAGGTAGGATGGGGTCAGCACACGGCCTTTCCAGACTTGTTTCTCAGGGTGATGGTTCGTGTTTAGGCAGCAGATGATGTAAACCATCACATTAGTCTCTAGTAAATAGGCATTCAGCAGCACTGTGAAGTAACAGCCATAATTGTTAGCTGGTATCTTTGGGCAGCATTTGATATGTGGCCTCCTTTGAAATGTCTTTTTGAGGAAGCAGGTCGTGAGGAGGCTCTAACTGGCTTTTCCCAGATAATTCATAAATCTGCCTTGAAAATTTTGTGCAAGCCCAGAAAAGATTTCAAGTTCATTTTCCCAGGAGGAGACCTCTACTTTCTAGGTGCAGAGTGCAGTGTCCGTTCTCGTGCACTGGATGTGTGTTTGTCACTGTGCCATTGCAGTCAGATCATATCTGTTTCTATTTATCCTGCAGTGATTTCTCCTGACAGCTTGATGTGAAAAATTCTCTCTTTGGAGTGTTCTTAAGCCTTTGAAGATTTATCTCTGCTTTATTTGTCTTACTTAGTCCAAAAGTATTGCTGCACAGGACCGTCTAGCTGAATTTTCAGCGAGAGAAAGGCAAACCTGAGTGCTCAGTTAACCTGTGACCTTGGGGTTAATGACTCTGTGCTCTCATGTATATATTGACTTATCTCACAGAAAAGATGTGTCATGTGAATGTGCTGCAGTGTTAAAAATGTGCTTTGACTATTCTTGAATAAAGGATTAGAAACGAAAGCAAAATATTATACATCTTCGTAAAACTCTTATGTTTCATATGTTTTTAAGGACATGACAGAACTGGTAGTCAGCATCTGCTCAGTACTTTTCAACAGAAATCATGAACTGGCCCATAAATATGTTTAATAATTGAAATCAGTGGGGCTGTACAAATGTGGGGTAAGCTTTACTTTTAACTTTATCTATAATGCAACCACTGATGCAGCTGCCTTATAGCATGGGCATATCTGTTTGAGTTGTAACTTAAACAGTTCAGGTGAAGGTAAAATAACCAAAGCAGCACGGACACATCAGTTTGCTGCTTCTTGTGCTCTTTGCACCAAGCTCTGTGCCACAGCAGGTGGATGGCCACTACTGCATGTTTAAAGCTAACCCGGATATATGTGCAATGTGGCCATAACCAAATGCATCAGAGAGATCAGGCAAAAAAATGCCTATCCTTGCTCATGAATTTACAATTTTAACTATCCTTCCTCAAAAGAGTGAGTGGCAGGGATAGATGCTCAGTGCCAGAGATGGATCCCCGGCATCCTACAGGAGTGCTGTAACCGCTGAACTCCATGGCCAGAGTTGTGAGAAGTTACTTTTTACAACCATTTCTGTGGGCAGGCTTTGAGAACATCTACTGTACCAGGCCTCACAAGCAAAATAGGCAACAGAGCCTAGTTTGGGCATTTGGAAGATTTTATGTCAAATTGCTAAATGCATTTTATGTACCTGCAATGTTTAATGTCACCTGAATAAAGTGTCGTGGTGATGCCAGTTTTGCACAGGGGTGCCAGCAGAAGTGATGCAAATATGACTGAAGCAAGGGCAGGAAATTGGCCGTCACAGGATCTCAGCAGGCGAGTCATATTCTAGCCAGCACAGAAAAGTAAAAGTCATTCAGTTTCCTTTTTCCATCATGTTGATTAAATCTCTAGAGACTGGCTTTCCCTGAAGGGTGTTCCAGGTCCTTGTATTACTTTTTCATTTTTGGCCCTCTCAATTTTTTCTCTCTTTTAATTTCTAAAACATATCCCCTGCTGTCAGATCTCTGGTAATTTGTTTCACAATCTGTGGTGGCCTTTCACAGAACTTCGGTGGTGTTGGTAGCATCTGCGCCTCATTCCGTTTTCTCGTTGTGAAGCTTTGCCTACCCTTTAAAGTGAAGATTGTGATGGTGTGAGGATTGGTCCTTTGTGCCTTGCTGCTCACTGACTGCCTGGTTGCAGAGAGCTCTGGAAGTGTAGGCTTTCATTCCACTGAAATCTATTTTCTGGGACCGTGACATTTTCTCCTTGGAGGGAAGTGCTGTGTAGCCAAGTTTATTTTTATTTATGTAATCTAACAATTTGAAATATAAGAGTAGTCTAGCACTTACTTCAGCTGACATGCTTTTTAAAAGTAGGATGCAGTTGAGATAAGTTAATGGGCAGTTGTATTTGAAGATTTTTCAGCCTTGTCTCCTTTGAAGTGAATTAATGTCTTTGATTCTCATCTTTCCTTTATTATAGCTGTAAGATTTCTAACGTAACTTATCACAGGGACCCAGTGGAAATACTCCATTATTAAAGGAGGTAATGATTACAGGCAAAACCAGTAAGTGCAGCAACTATGATATATGGCAACAAAAATCACGGTAAAACCTATTTTTTACTTAAGCTGTTCCTTTCTAAGAGGTATATTGCATCTATGCAGGACAGGTAGCTTAGTTTGTCTCTTGTGAAACCTGATAAACAAAGTAAGTGATTATTTTTCAGGGTTGTTTCTGATCTGATTCTTCTATGAGTTTCACAGAAATTGGATTTGTGCTCCTGGGTTTTGTGCACCTGGGCTTTCTGTAGGTGCTCTGGGCTAAATTACAGGGCAGCTGTCTATGCCAGCCCCCAAATGCTTAAAATTGCTTTTTATTCAAATGTGATAACTGTAGGGATATCTGTTAGAAATCATCCATCATGTTGTTGTCTTTGAGAACTGTTAATCTGCTACATAGGGATCTCATTAGTTGTGGAGTAGCCCTTGGCGGTCTGTCAGGTGCTTTGAATCAAATTTTCTTTTGCTGACACTTTTCTGAGTGTTTGCCTAGTTCTGAATCTGTCTAATACTTGGATCTTCCCA